GCATATTTTGATCATTATATGATATAGTATGAAGATTAATAAATTTTGAAACCTTATGTGTTCCTATTTTCCTAGAAAATAGAGATTTTATAGGGGTTTATACACTAATTAGATCGTATATGAAGTTTAATTAAATTACTCGTTAGTAAGTTGAAAATGATGACCATGTACCATGAAAATATGTTTGGCCTACATTAATATACATTGAAAGTGTTATTTGGTATTTTTAAACAACACTAAAGTGTCTAAAAATTATAGATAGTATTTATCAGAAAATTCATTTTTTTGTAACGGTTAACCCACATATTTCAAGAAAAAATAAAAAATATGGTATTTTTGTTTTAATACATATTTTCATCATGCACTGACATATTATGAAGATTAAATAAGTTTTAGACATTATGTATTCTCATTTCTCTAGAAAATAGGATATTTATAGATGTTAAAACATTAATTAGATCGTATATGAAATTTTAAATAATATTACTTGTTGAAAAGTTAGAAATGATGAAAATGTACCATGAAAATATTGTTATCCTACATAAATATACACTGGGAGTGTGGTTTGCTATTTTTAAACAACACTAAATTTTCAAAAAATTATAGATAGCACTTATCAGAAAATCTAATTGTTACATAGAGGTTAACGCACATAATTCAAGAAGAAAAAATTATGGTAATTTTATTTTATTTCATTTTTTCATCATGTACTGAAATAATATTAATATTAATATTAAAGAGTTTTGAGACCTTATATGTTCTCATTTATCTAGAAAATAGAATTTTATAGGGGTTAGTACACTAATTAGATCGTATATGAAGTTTAAAACAAATTACTCGTTGGAAAGTTAGAAATGATGAAAATGTACCATGAAATATGTTTAGCCTAAATTAATATACATTAGTAGTGTGGTTTGGTATTTTTAAAGAACACTAAATTTTTAAAAAATAATAGATAACATTTTTGCGAAAAATTCAATTTTTTCATAGGGGTTAATCCACATATTTCAAAAAAAAAATAGAAAATTTGGTAGTTTTCTTTCAATGCATATTTTCATCATGCTTTGACATATTATGGAGATTAAAGAGGTTTTAGACATTATTTATTTCCATTTTTCTATAAAATCAAAATTTTATAGGGGTTAATACACTAATAGATTGTATATGAAGTTTAAATTATCATTGATAAGTTAGAAATGAAGACCTTGTATCATGAAAATATGTTTAGCCTACATTAATATACATTGGGAGTGTGGTTAGATATTTTTAAACAACACTGAGCATTTATCGAAAACTTCAATTTTTATAGGGGTTAACCCACATATTTCAAGAAAAAATAAAAAATTTGGTAATTTTGTTTTAATGCTTATTTGCATCATGCAATGACATAGTACGAAAATTAAAGATGTTTGAGATCTTATGTGTTCTCATTTCTTTTGGAAATAAGTTAGTACACTAATTAGATCGTATATGAAGTTTAAATGAATTACTTGTTGGAAAGTTAGAAATGATGATCATGTACCATAAATATATGTTTATTATATATTAATATATATATATATATAGGATGTTGTTAAGTATTTTTAAACAAAACGTATAAATAGCATTTATCGAAAAATTCAATTTTTTGTAAAGGTTAATTTACGTATTTCAAAAAAAATGAAAATATGGAATTTTGTCTAATTGTTTATTTTCATCATACTCTGACATAGTATGAAGATTAAAAAATGTTTTAGACCTTATGTATTCATATTTCTCTAAAAAATAGAAATTTAATAGAGGTTAGCACACTAATTAGATCGTATATGAAACTTAAATAAATTATTTGTTGAAAAATTATAAATGATGACAATGTACCTTTAAAATATATTTATTATATACATTGAGAGTGCGGTACAAGATATTAACTTTGGAACAATTTGTTATGTTGATCAATCATGTAATTTTTTTTTCTTTTTGAGGATAACCCATTGTATTTATTATTTTAAAACTCTATATGATTTGAGCGTATTCTTCTTCTTTCAAATAATATTGGGGCAATTTGCCAAATAACTATAGCAAAATTCAAAATTAAAGATATAACCATAAGGAACGTGATGTGACAATTAACGCCGTTGTTGGACGATTTTCGCCTTGCACACGCCTACGCGGCTGAAAGAGGCGAGTGAGCAATGTGAGACAATATACTATGATGCATATGCTATAGTATAGTCAGTGAAAACAAATCATAAACCATGAATCCAAACTATTAACCCAATATATATATATATGTTATATATTATACTATAGTATATATTGGATAGTATAGGGAATACAATAACACACAAAACAACCTTCAAGACTAACATCCAAAAGGGGTACACTATGTTGAAATGCGACTATATATATGAAGGTAAATATTCAGGTGCTTTGAGAGGAAACATACAAACATGCATGAAATACAAAATGAGAAGAGTGACACATTTCTAAAGTGAATTTACATATTATACTATTGTATACAAGTACTAGTATAGAAAATATAACATCTTACCTCACAAATCACCTACAAAATTAC